AATTTTTGGCCATTACAAATCAGACAAAGGTCTAATCTCTATAAGAAAATCCAACACCTCTACAACAAAAAGACAAATAATCTATTAAAAAATGGGCAAAGGAAATGAACAGACACTTCACCAAAGAAGACATTCAAGCAGGCAACAGATACATGAGGAAATGCTTGTGATAACTAGCCATTAGAGAAAAGCAAATCAAAGACGGCAATGAGATACCATCTTACCCCAGCATTACTGGCATGAATCCAAAAAACTGGAAATAACAAATGTTGGAGAGGCTGCAGGGAGATTGGAACTTTTATGCACTGCTGGTGAGAATGCAAAATGATACAACCATTTTGGAAAATGATATGGCCCTTCTTTAGAAAGCTAGAAACAGAAATACCATATGATCCAGCAATCCCACTGCTAGGAATATATCCTGGAGAAATAAGAGGTGTCACACAAATAGACATACACAGATCCACGTTCATTGCATCATTGTTCACAATAGTAGAAACAACCTAGATGTGCATGAACAGATGGATGGATAAACTATGGTACAAACAATGGAGTATTATGCAACGATAAAGAACAATGATGTATCTGCAAAGCATTTCATAACATGGATGAATGGAAGGCATTATGCTGAGTGAAATAAGTCAATCACAAATGGACAAATATTGTATGAGCCCACTTCTGTAAAAACTCATGAAACGGTTTACACACAAAAAGAAACAATCTTTGATGGTTACGAAGGAGGAGAGGGGTGGGGGAAGGAAACACTAAATAGTAGGTAAGTGGTAACTTTGGTGAAGGGTAAGACAGTACACAGTACTGGGGAAGCCAGCAAAACTTGTACAAGGCAAGGTCATGGAAGCTCCATAGACACATCCAAACTCCCTGAGGGACCAAATTGCTGGGCTGAGGGCAATGGGGACCATGGTCTCAGGGAACATCTACCTCAATTGGCATAACATAGTTTATAAAGAAAACGTTCTACATTCTACCTTGGTGAGTAGCGTCTCGGGTCTTAAAAGCCTGTGAGGAGCATTCTAAGATTCTCCACTGGTCTCACCTCTTCAGGAGCAAGGGAGAATGAAGAGAACAAGACACAAGGGAAAGATTAGTCCAAAGGACTAATGGACCACAACTACCACGGCCTCCACCAGACTGAGTCCAGTACAACTAGATGGTGCCCAGCTACCACCACTGACTGCTCTGACAGGGATCACAACAGAGGGTCCCAGACAGAGCTGGAGAAGGATGTAGAACAAAATTCTAACCCACAGAAAAAGACCAGACTTACTGGCCTGACAGATACTAGAGAAACCCCAAGAGTATGGCCTCCAGACAGCCTTTTAGCTCAGTAACAATGAAGTCGCTACTGAGGTTCACTCTTATGCCAAAGATTAGACAGGCCCATAAAACGAGACTAATGGGGCCCAGGGACAAGGACTAGAAAGCAGAAGGGGACAGGAAAGCTGGTAATAGGGAACCCAAAGTTGAGAAGGGACAGTGTTGACATGTCTTGGGTTGTTAACCAATGTCATAAAACAATATGTGTACTAAATGTTTAATGAGAAACTTTGTTCTGTAAACCTTCATGTATAGTACAATAAAAGAATTTTAAAAAATAGCAATTACATTTAAAATAGCATCTAAGAGAATAAAACACCTAGGAATAAATCTAACCAGGAACGTGAAGGACTTATACAATGAAAACTATAAAACACTGCTGAAAGAGATTAAGGAAGACTGAAATAGATGGAAAGATGTTCCGTGTTCATGGATTAGAAGACTTAATATTGTTAAGATGTCAGTGCTACCCAGAATGAACTGTAGATTCAACATAATCCTGATCAAAATTCTAACAGCCTTCTTTACAGAATCCTGATCAAAATTCTAACAGCCTTCTTTACAGAAACAGAAAAACCAATCCTCAAGTTTCTATGGAATGACAAGAGGCATCAAATAGCTAAAACAATGGTGAAAGAGAAAAAGTAACAGGACTCATACTCTCTGATTTTAAAACATACTATACAGCCAGGTACTGGTATAAAAATATACATATGGACCAATGGAATAAAGAGTCCAGAAATAAACCTACATACTTGTGTTCAACTGATTTTTGATAAAGGTGCTAAGTCCATTCGATGGGGATAGAAGAGTCTCTTTAATAAATGGTGCTGGTAAAACTGGAGTTCCACATGCAAAAAAAGTGAAACAAGATCCATGCCTCACACCATATACAAAAACAAATCCGAAATGGATCAAGGACCTACACGTGCATACTAAATCCATAAAATTCTTAAAAAGCAGTGGCAATGCTGTCAGGCCTAGGTTTTATCAGTGGATTATCTAATATAATAACAAAAGCACAAACAGCAAAGGACAAAATAAATAAATGGAACTTCATAAAAATTTAAAATTTTTGTCAAAAGACTTTACAAAAAAAGTTAAAAGACAAGCTACCAACTGAGAGAATATCTTCAGAAACCATGTATCTGACAATCTAATAACAAAAGTATATATAAAACTTGGACAACAAAAAGACAACCCAATCATAAAATAAGCAAAGGACTTGAATAGACATTTCACCAGAGTAACATTCATATGACCACTAAACACATGAAATGATGCTCAGCATCCTTAACCATCGAACCAAAAACCAAACCCGCTGCCATTGAGTTGATTCTGACTCATAGTGACCCTGTAAGGGCAGAACAGCCCCATAGAAGTTTCCAAGGAGCACCTGGTGGATTCGAGCTGCTGACCTTTTGGTTAGCAGCCGTAGCACTTAACCACTACGCCACCAGTGTTTCCCATTAACCATCAGAGAGATACAAATCAAAACCACAATGAGATACCATTTCACCGTCACTAGGATGGCTAAGATTTAAAAAAAAAAAAAAAATTAGAAACGTTGGCGAGGATGTTGGGAAATTGGAACCCTTTATCCATTGCTGGTGGGAATGCAAAATGGTACAGCCGCTGTGGAAAGCAGTGTGGTGGTTCCTCAAAAAACTAAAAATAGAACTTACATACTACCCAGCAATTCCACTCCTAGGTATACACCCAAAAGACTTGAAAGCAGAGACTCAGAGACTTGTACACCAGTGTTCGTTGCAGCACTATTCACAGTAGCCAAAAGGTGGAAACAACCTAAATGCCTATCAGCAGATGAATGGATAAACAAAATGTGGTACACACAAACAATGAAATACTAGTCAGCCAGTAGGAGAACTGAGGTCTTGATACATGCTACAATATGGATGGAGCTTAAAAACATCACGCTGAGTGAAATAAGTCAATCACAAAAACACAAATATGTATGATCTTGCTATATAAAAAGACAACAACAGGCAAATGTATAGAGAACAAAGTTTATTAGTGGTTACAAAGGGTGGGAGAGGGGGAAAGCAGGTTATTACGGTGATGGAAAAATCACATTAATGGTAGGGTTGCACAGCCAATTATTATAATTGTAAAAAGTTGAACTGGCAAAAGTTGTGTAATATACTTAGAATGACAAAAAAGAGAAAGAGTAGCTGCTGAGGCTGCTTATGTACAATCAAACATCTCATGAGATTTGGTTCCTTGGTTTGGAGGTTTAGGGTCATGGTTTCATGGGACATCCCAGTTAACTGGCCTTATAATATCTTCAGTGCTTCTGTTCTAACCTCTAGTTCATTGTGTAATGCCTGGGGTCTTAAAAGCTTGTAAGCAGCAACAGTTGGTCTGTATTCACCTGGAGCAACACAGGAAGAAGGAGAGTCAGGAATAAGGGGATATGGAATGCGTGGCTAATTGCTTCCATGAACAGCTGCCTCCTTTGCCGTGAAAGCGGAACTGGATGGTGCCCAGCCATCATACTGAACATTGTGATAAAAGATGCTATAGAAGAATCCTGATCAAAAAGGGGGAAATGTAGAACAGAATTTCAAATTCTCATGGTCTCTACACTTTCTGGAGCCATGGAAGGTGAATGAACCCTTGAAACTATTGCCCTGAGATAATCTTTAAACCAAAAAAAAACCCTGAAGTCTTCTTAAAACCAAACAGCTTAACTACCGTGTTTTTGTGCAAGTAACACACACCTTCCACATTTGTTTGATAACTATGCCTTCCTCCTGCAAAGTATTTTCATAAACACGCTGATTTTTTTACAGCGACATGTATAAACAAATTGGCATAGTGGCACTTGTTAAAGTACATCGAGGGCACGGTTGGCAAACAAATGTAGAAGTCGTGCTTTATTTGTGTAAAAATACAATACTAAAGAATGTCTGCCTTGAGTATTGTATTCTTTCAGGAGCTATCTATATGGGATCAAATTGACAACAGCAGCTCAAAAGATTAGATAGGAAATTTAGGTGGCAGTGAGTTTGTTAATGGTGGAGGAACAACTCATAAAAGGAAGGCGAGCATGATTGCACAACTCGAAGAATGTAATCAGTCACTGAACTGTACATGTAGAAATGGTGTGTTTTGCTGTGTATATTCTCAACAAAATAAAATTTTTTTTAAAAAAATCCATTGACTGTAAAGATTTATTTCTGAACTCTCAATTCTATTTCATTGATTTACCTATTCTTACTCTAGTACCTTGCTCTCTCGATTACTGTAACTTTATAGTAAGTTTTGAAATCAGGAAGTGTGAGTCCTCCAGCTTTATTCTTCTTTTTCAAGATTGTTTTGGTTATTCTGGGTCACTTGCAGTTCCATATGAATTTTAGGATTAGCTTATCAATTTCTCCAAAAAAGGCAACTGAGAGTTTACTAGGGATTGTGGAGTACTGCCATCTTAACAATAGTAAATCTTTCAGTGCATGAATACAGGTTGTCTTTCCATTTATGTAGGTTATCTTTAATTTGTTTGAACGATGTTTTGTATTTTTCAGTGTACAAATCTTGCACTTTTGTTAGATTTATTCCTAAGTATTTTAAATTTTTTTTTGAGCTATTTTAAATTGTTTTGTATAAGAGAATTTCAGTTGTTACATCTTCTTTTTTGACAGACTGCGTCAAATTCCTCTTCACCTTACGCAGTATCCAACGCGAGCCATAAAAGTTCTTTTGGCAGGGTTTAAACCTCCCCTAAGAGATTCAGGAAAGACAAGAATACCATATTGTCCCAAATGGAGCATGGAAGCATTGTGGGCTATGATAGACTGTCTTCAGGGGAAACAACTTTATGCTTCTTCAATCGTAAGTATGTTTTAATTAGCCAAAATTCTTTTGAAGCTGTTTCTTGAGTTCCTATTGACTTTGTAAAGTGCTTCATATCTATGCAACTCTAGATGCAAATATATAGTAGTTAAAGCATATAAAGACGTATATACTATAAAACTAATTGTTAAAATAGTTTAACATGCTTTATTAGCTCTACAGTAATATAAAATGATACAGTGGATATAATGAATGAGAAAAATGACCAAGATGAGTATCCTATAATCAAAGAACTTGTAAGCCAATAAGGGAGCCACGTAAACAAGTAATTAATATGAGATAGGATGAAATAAGTACTATAATAGGCAACTTTCCCAGGGGGGAAAGGGAGACAAGAAGGAATGATTATTTTCATCTAGAAACATCAGGAGATGGTGGTTGAGCTATTAGTAGACAGTCAAGTATTTACTGAATAAGTGAATAAGGACAGGGAAGTGATACTTGAGCTACATCTTGAAAGATGAGTAGGAAAGCCAGAAAGGGTGTTCTGATCAAGGTCACAGAAAGGCTTGTCCTCACTTTTGAATTAATGTAATAGAACTTGTAGCGAAAGCTTCAAATTAGAAACTCCAAAACTTTTTCATATGCTTGCTTCTTTAAATAGAGGCTCAGCATCTGACAAAGGAGTCCATAGACAAAATATGACTGCAACCATGTTTTATTTAGTGCAGTGTTAATAAAAATTGGAAAATTTTACAAAAGTCTGTTCCTGGCATCTAGTGTTACAAAATCTAGGCACCCTGGGTCTCTCTTCCTAAACAGCAATCAGCTGGAGTGGTGTAGCAACAATCCCTTTTATGTGGGGAGCATGTTCTTCATCATTGTCCTCACCACTTCAACCCAACCTGCTTCACTCCTTTTTCATACCTGCCTGGTCCCTGTAAGGCACGATTTAGGGTTTTCCTAAGTACTTACTGGCTATGACAAGAATGAGCCATATTGAAACCTTGCTGTTACTATAAAATGCTTTTTGAAAACCCCTGTACCTAACATGCTGTGTGTGCAAAAGTAGTGTAAATAGCTCATGCAGGGCTTCTTTTAAGAAGACAGTGAAGATACAGAGAGGGCAGATATTATTATAGATATATGTACATTTATGTATATGGATAAGCAGCGCTGGTGGTGCACTGTTAAGCACTTGGCTGCTAACTGAAAGGTCAGCAGTTTGAACTTACCAGCCACTCCATGGGAGAAAGATGTGGCAGTCTGCTTCCATAAACATATTACAGCCTTGGAAACCCTATGGGGCAGTACTACTCTGTCCTATAGGGTCACTGTGAGTCTGAATCAACAGCAAAAAAAAAAAAAAAAAGAAAAAAATCTAGATAATATAGATAAGTAGTCAACTGAATAACATTCAAAATTTGGTTAGTTGATGCACAAAGGGATAATGCTTTAAATGTACAGTGTAAATGAATTTTAACAGGGATGGTAGGTAGTGTTAAAGCCTTTTGGCTCTGTCCAGGAAAACCCTGTGGCCTCGGTGGTGCAAATCTGCTTTCTTCCACCCAGAGACACATTGCAGGAAAGGCTTGGCGATCTACATTTGAAGTATCTGCCATTGAAAACCTTGTGGAGCAGTTCTAGAACTCTGACACACATGGAGTCACTAAAGGTTGGAATTGACTAGAACGCCACTGGTTTTTTAGGAGTACCTTGGGGAGAAGTTACCATTTAAATAGAGAAGAATGGAAAGAATGTGATTTAGTAGGGAACCATCACAGATGCCTTTTGTTGGTGTAAGCTGCCGTCCAGTCAGCCCCGCCTCATGGCAACCCCATGGACAGTGAAACAAAATGCTGCCTGGTCCTATGCCATCCCCGTGGCAATGGTCAGTGACAGATAGATAGGACTGTTGTGATCCATAGGGTTTTCACTGGCTGATTTTCAGAAGTAGATCACCAGGCCTTTCTTCCTAGTCCACCGTAGTCTAGAAACTCTGCTGGAACCTGTTCAGCATCACAGCAACACACAGGCCTCCACTGACAGGTGGTGGCTGCATATGAGGTGCATCGGCCAGTAATCAAACCTAGGTCTCCCTCAGGTAAGGAGAGAATTCTAGTACTGAACCATCAATGTCCCCTTTGAATTATAAATAAACCTAGAAAATGCCTTTTCCTCCTTTGAGATGGCCAGATATAGGAGAGAAAAGGTAACAAAGACATTATTGTATTTTCTTCACAACAGTATCTTTTAATTTTAGGCTCAGGCACCAGAACAAATAGTGATATTATATGAAGATGAACAGTATCCAGTTCATATGTCACTAGTAGAAATGGGGCTTGCAGACAGAGATGAGTGATGTAAGTATATTAAAATTCTTGTTCATCCTTATAATCAGCATAAGGCATGTGACTAATATAGCAAAGATTAATGGTAAATTGCCCATGAAATCACTCGAGTTTTCCTTGATTTCTGAGAGGAATGACAATTAAGTTTCACAAGAGTCTCTCTTCCAGCTTTCTTCTCCATTGGGCCTTTCTCACCAGTGTCAAAGATGTCCCATATCTGTAAGAATGCCTGGAATGCCTAGCGTGGCTGTCAAGTTACCATATACCTTATGGGGTTAAGCAGAAGAGAGTAGGCACCATAAATCATTTAAACACATAAATATATGGTATGCATATAGCACTAGTGAAACAATCAGTGTTCTAATAACAAATTTATTAAATATTGGGGTAATCAGCTAACTATCTTATTCACTCACATGAATGTAATGGGTGCTTCAACGACTAGATTTGAACATTAAGCAAAGGTTTAAAACAAACAATAACATTTTGTTTTTCAGGTATATTGTGTACAATGCAGAGCATCTATAGCAGCCCAGAAGAAAGTTTTCTGTTATATTTAGATCATTTCAGGATTATTTTTCTTGACTTGTTCTGCAGCAGTGCAGTCTTTTTTTTTTTTTTGTCTTGCATGTTGAACTGTTAGGAATTGTTTGGAAAATATCTGAAAAAAAGTTAATAAACAATTTGCTTTCAAATATTTTCTTGTTTTATTTTGAAACTGCAGTATTTTAGGCACATGAAAAAATTTTTAGTTCATTTTATAACAACTAATGTATATACAGCTTAAGAACTAAGACGATCAGTGAAGGCCCCTGTGGCACTCCTTCCCCGGTCACATTTTCTGCCCTTTCTACAGAAGTGGCCACCGTAAGGAATTTATGATTTATGATTATATGAATCTTTATAATTTTACTACATGTGAATGCATCCATACACAATATATAGTATTGTTCTGTGAATTTTTAAACATAGGACGTACTATGCAATTATTTTTTATTCTTTTTTATTTGCGCTGTTTATCTATATTGGATAAACAAACATTTTCTTTACTTTCACTGCTATATTCACTGTGTACATATAACTTATCTACTCTGCTGTTTGTTAGATATTTAGATGATTGTTTCCAGTTTTCTTCTCTATTACAGACATTCTTCTGTAGGACCCCTTGTGTATATGTGAGATTTTGTAGTGCATATACATAGTCTTTGCTTTCCAAAAAGTGGTATTACCAATTTACACACTACCCTTAGTAGTGTTGAGTTCCTTGCCAAACTTGGTGTTGCCAGACCATTACTTGCCAGTATATGCTACTAGTATAAAAAGGTATCTCACTGTTTTAATGTGCATTTATTTACTGGCTCAGTAGTTAGTGAGAATGGGTATTTTTTCACTTGTTTATTGCTTGTTCGTATCATTTTCCTACTTTTCTATTGAGTTGTTTGTAATTTTTTTAGGGCTTCAGTTGCTTGTAATAATTTATAGGACTGTCAGGTATTCGTGTTGCACACATCTCCTAGCCTGTGGCTTGTCTTTTCCATTTTATGTGGTACCTTTTGGTGAAGAGACTCTATCAGTCTTTCCTTAAGGATTGTACTTTTTGTGTTGTGTTTATAAACACTTCACTATCCGGAAGTAATAAATTTAACACTCCTTATCTTTTTCTACGTTTCAAAGTTCTGTTTTTCATATTCAGTTCTTAAAATCACCTAGAATTGATGATACATTTAAAAAAACTTTTTAACTGAACATTATCAACACTTATATGGTACAGAATGCACAGGCAAGCTCTATCTAGAATAATCTGTAATAATGAAATTTACGTATAGGTGACTTGCCCTTCCATCAAGGACATCTCGCTTCAATTAACCTATAATCTTGTAAGTTAAAACATTAAGGTGGTTGTGGTAGATCTGTTAACACTGGCTAATTTTTTACACACCCTTCACTTTCTAGTGTCCCATAAATTATAGTCACCCTAGTTATAACTACTTTCTCCTTACTTTAAGATTATCTGTAATCACCGTGATACCGAAACCAGACAGACATCACAATAAAAGTACAGGCTAATATTTCTTTTACGAATACATGCAAAATCCTCAACAAAATACTAGCAAACAGAATCCAACAGCATATAAAAAGAGTCATACACCATGACCAAGTGGCATTTATTCCAAGAATGCAGGGATGGTTCAACATTAGGAAATCCAATCAACATAATACAGCACATCAAGAGAACAAAGGAAATCCAATCAACATAATACACCACATCAACAAAACAAAGGAAAAGAAACACATGACCATCTCTATGGCTGCAGAAAAAGCATTTGAGAAAATCCAACAAATTTCTTGATGAAAACCTTAAAGAAGACTGGAATAGAAGGGCAATTCCTAAATATGATTGAGGGCATATATGAAAGGCCAATATTATACTTAATAGACAAAGACTGAGAGCTTTCCCCTTGAAATAAGGAACAAGGGTGTCCTCTCTTAACACTTCTACTCAATATTGTACTAGAAGTTCTAGCCAAAGCAGTAAGACAAGAAAAAGATATAAACAATATCCACGCTGGAAAAGAAGAATTCTCCCTATTAGCAGATGACATGATCCCATATATAGAAAATCCGAAAAAGTCCACAAGGAATTTAGCAAAGTTACAGGGTACAAGGTCAACAAACAAATCATATGGGTTTCTATTCACCAGCAATGAGAAATCAGAAAGAGAAATTAGAGAAACAATTCCATTTACAATATTATCTAAGAGAATAAAATGCCTACGAACAAATCTAACCACGGACGTGAAGGACGTATACAATGAAGATTGTAAAACAATGCTGAAAGAGACTAAAGAACGTTTAAATAATGGAAAGACGTTCCATGTTCATGGATTGGAAGACTTAATATTGTTAAGATATCAATACTATCCAAAACGATATACAGATTCAATGAAATCCCAATCAAAATTTGAACACCCTGCTTTACAGAAATAGAAAAAACTTAATCTTCAACTTTATATGCAATGGCAAGAGGCCTCAAATAGCTAAAACAATGTTGAAAGAGGAACAAAATAGAAGGACTCACACTTCCTGATTTTAAAATATACTATGGGGGGGCGGGGCCAAGATGGCAGAGTAGTCAGATGCTTCCAGTGAACCCTCTTACAACAAAGTCCCAAAAAAAAAAGTGATTATATATGGCAATCTGGGAGCCCTGAACATCAAAGGCAGAGTTCAGGAACCCGACTGAGTGGCAAGGGGAAGGAGAGATGGTTCAGAAGCAGCAAGGAATTGCCAGACTTGACCTGGCAAGAGCCTGAGCCCTTGAGGCCTAACTGGCTCGGGGGTGAGCGGTCAGGCAGGCAAGCTGCAGTGCTCAGGAGGCACGTTTTCCGCACCAGGAGAGACCCAGCGCCAGAGAGTCTACAAGGCCACCCAGAACCAGTGAGAAGTAGCCCTGCATTGGCGACAGGTAAGTAGTTCTGTACGGCCTACCTCATGGATCAAAAACACCCACCTTAGAAAAGACAGTCTCTTTCACAAAAAGTGCTGGCATAACTGGATATCCATCTGCAAAAAACTGAAACAAGGACTTCCAGCAAGATGGCGCTCTAGACAGAAACACCACGCCATCCCTCCACAACAAAGATCCGAAAAACAAAAGCCAAACAGAGAATCAACAATCGTGAAACCCTAGAACATCAAATGAAGAGATAAAAAGAACTCAGCTGAACACCAAACGGAGTAAGAATACTGAAAGAGAACAGAGAGCGAGGAGAGATTCATGCAGAGGTCCCCTACCAGCTAACGCAGCGC